ATATTAAGAATATTTATATTACAACTATATGTATATCATTTTTCTCAGTGTATATTAAAACAACTAGCGTAAAATTATGCACGAATAAGCTTTGTTTTTTTCAATTCTAATCAACTTAGCGTTCATTGACATTTGATAAAAGGAAATCATGACTATTATACATTACACTGTACATCATTACAGGAACAATCTTTAAATAGTACATCAAGTAAAAGTAGAAAAAAGAGAAAGAAAAACCAAAAAAAATTACACTACTTCGAAGCGATGTACGCTATTATCTTATGTAATAATTATTATAATAAATTGTATTTGTATCTTACAAGTTATAAATATAGTTTCCTCACTTTCGATTGTAAAACTTCTGAAAATTATAAGTATTCTACTTATTCCTAAAAGTCTGGCTACTGTTTATCGTAGATTTATATCCTTGAAAGAAATAACAAGAGACAATTTGTCATAGTTCTACCATAAAAGAAAAAGGACTTTGAATTCAGAATAAGATGTTTCCCATACAAAACATAGCGATTTTATTCTACAAATAATGGGATAAATTTGGTTAATTTTGTGTTTTGTTGTTGTTGGAAACTTGCATATCAGTTTTCTATTTTGCGACGCGCAATTCGGCACGGTATATACTTTCTTTTTTTTATACCGTCATAATGCGAACACGCATATATTTAATAATATTAACAAATAGTGTAACACTCATGATAACGTGTATGAGCTTGTAACCTGACTCTTTCGTGAAAATCATGGCATTTAATGCATCAAACGATGGTGCAGCAGTGGCGCAGGCGCTGATCATCATGTATTGATTTGCCCATATCACGCTGCTATCGCCGCCAGCTTCGGGATTCGCCATCTTCATCCTCCTCCTCTTCGTTTTCTTCGAGAAGTAATGCTTCTGCGTTACCCTATCATGAGTGGAAATTTGTTATTTATAAGCACCTTTTGTTTTATCTAATTCCGTAAAGAAAAAATAAAGACCCTGTACATCTAGATCTTAAAACTGAAGCTAATTATTTCAAATATACTATTGAACAATAAAGTAAAAAAAGGATTATTGTATCAGGAAATGCCTATAATCTTCCTCTGCCTCATAGATTTTTAAAAGCTTACTTCTAAATCAATTTCTTCATCAGTGGTAGGCGGTGCTTGTTCAGAACGCGAAGAAAGTTGTACAGATGAGTTTGCATTACTACCACCACCGCCACGGTGTAAGTGTTGCCCAGAGACCCATGTAATAGAAAGTAATCTATCCTGAAATGTGCGTCCCTTTACTAAAGCTACCTCGGCTTCTTTTCTTGACTTGAAATTGATCACAATTGAAGGCGTTGCATCATCTACTATTTGATTCACTATTTCTCCAAATTGCTGAAACACAATTGACGTAACACGTGAACACGGATAAAATTTTCAACGATTTTCAATGTGAAAATTTCGTGCTTCTTCAAAGCACGAAGTAAGTTGTAAATTAATTCTTACTTGAAAATGCGTCAAAACTTCAGCCTTTTCTTCGGTTTCGTAACCAGAGACTAGAAGACTTGTCGGTCTATGATCTACCGAAACATGGGTAAAACTCCCTCTACCACGACCCCTATATGATACCGCATGGGCGCCTCTTATAACTCTACTTGCTCTTGTACCTCTACCAACAGTTGGACCAGCATTCAAACCTAACGCAGCAGCTTGAGCTCGCAGCTCGTTTAGTCTCTTTTGCAACTCCCCGGCATCTTGTCCTTCTTGTTGTGCAGTCATTAAGTCTAATTCGGCGTCTAAAATCTCTTTCTGAGTTTGTTCTCTTGATTTCACTTGCGTTTTATTTCCACCAATTTGACCATTCGCTGCTAGGTCTTTGCGTAAATTGTCGATCGATTGTTGCATGTTCTTTATCGTTGCCATAATGGCATCTTTTTGTTCTGGATTCTTTTCAGCTTTTTCAATTAATGCTCGTATTTCTATTAAATGCTTGTCTAACAGTTCTTGTTTCCTTTTACGTAAATCAGCTGTTAATTTTAATGCCTCTTTACGTTTTTCTTCCTGTTTCTTCTTTAGGGTTTCCTTAGCTGCTAAAATTTCTTGAGTCTTTTTTATTGCAAGAACCTTTTCTTCTCTAGTAGGAGCGGTGGTAGTTTTTGGCGATGTTGGGGTCAAACTTTGCGTAACTTGTTGTTCTTCAGTTGAACGACGAGTGGGAATATATTCATTCTCTTCGGTTTTCGCTGATGTAGTTACAGCAGCACCTAACCGTTCTTTTACGGAAGGACGGCATCCTAAACAATATAAAATATTAGATAATATAGTACTAAATAATATTAAAAAATGTATCAATTTACCTGGTGGTACATTTTCAATGGCGCCTCCAGCTGCGTTGTTATTAACATTGTTGTGCCAAAACACTTTGATAAATCTATTATTCAACACAGCCTCGGTGCTTCTATATGCAGCTTTTGCTTCAGCTGGCAATTGGAACGTAACCAACGCCCCTTCCGGATCTCCACCGAAATTAACTTGGATATTTACAATTTTACCGAATTTCGAGAAATGATTATTCAATTGGGTTATATTGTTCAGGATACGGGGAACCTTTTTCAGTTCTAGGGAACAGTTGGCTGGATTATGCACCACTCGCTGTTTTGGTCCAAGACGATTGAAATCGAATGCTTGTTTACGCTTTAAAGGGTTCGTTTGAGTATGCGTGATTTCAGACGAGTTTGTATGTGGGATTACTGGCACGCTAATTAATTCTCTTTGCCCCCTTCCATAAATACCAGGTCCCGGTTGGGGATGTCTTCCCCATGGCATTCGAGGTTCCATACTTGGTGCATCTGGATTATATTCTGCAAATGCATCTGTAGAAATTGTTAGAAAGTAGTCGTCGCACTGCAGGACTTAAAAAATTGCAATTTAAGAGATTTTTACCCATATTGGAGTGGTGTTGATTTCTTAAATGAGGTGGAGGTAAACTAGCAAGGGGGAGGTGTTGCGGTGGAGCATTTCCATTAGGTCCTTGAGGTGGTTCTGGTACTGCTGTTACAGGTACAGTTCCTGGTGCTTGCGCACTATGTGGACCGAAAGTCAAAACGCGACTTAAAGCTACATCTTCTAATACAACTGGATCTGTACCATGATCATAAGGACACAGATCGCCTCTCATACAGTATCCTTTTTCTGGAAATATAAGTTAGAGAACTTATACTGATGTATCTTTTTCACTAATACAATTGTATAGAATAATTAAATACAAACCATCAAAATCTCTGCACCTTCTCTTTGCCTGGAATCCTGGTTGGCTATTTGGTACATTAGAAGCGACAGCGACGACGCTTTGAATTGACTGACTAGTAGTAGATAACCGCATGTCTACATCTCCATGATTACTGTCCTGTGTTGGAGTACCTCCACCAGGACTTCCCTCAATTCTATCTGATCTGTCTACATCCATCCTATCGGAACGGTCTATCTTCTTGCGATCTAACGATCTTGATCGTGATCTTGATCGAAGAGGAGTTGGGGACCTATTTCTAAATCGTGCTCTATGATCACGATTGTCAGGGCCATCCCGTATTCTCGGTCGTATAGGTGACGTACTACGACTTCTACTCCGTCTGTATCAAGCATTAAACTTGATGAGTAAAGGCCATTCATTGGTTCTAGTAGTTCATTATTTGGTAAAAATACTTCGGTAAAAACCTTCTGTCATGTCGTCTTGTGTTTGGTGGTGATTCGTTCCTCCATGGTCGACTCCTATCGCGTTCCCTATCACGACGAATATGTTCTCTACTTCGAGACCTACGCCTATCTCTCTCCCACGAACGTGAACGTGATCTTGTCCTGGATCTCATTCGACCACTTCTGGAGTATAAACTTTACGTTAAGGATTTGTTGTGAGCTTTTCTGTTACTATGTCAAATTTTGGAAAATGATTTTCTTTTTAATGAATTTACAAACTTTATAGAAATCAATATCAATTGACTTTGCCATTGTAGTTACGTTAATACAATAACTTTTTAAATAAAGCTATGTGGAAAAGAAAGCCAATACTATTAACTTCTATACTGTCTACAATTTCATGAAAAAAAATAATTTTCCTTCGAACTATTCAATAACATCATTTAATATCTCTATTAATGAAACTTACCGACTTCGAGAACGTTTTTCCTTCTCTTTGTCAACTTTTTCAGAATCCGATTTCCTAGTTTCACGTTTACCGATTGGCATAGGTGCAGATCCATTTATTTGGAGTGGAACAGGAGGATTTGTATTGATAGATGTAACAGGAATTGTACTTTCAGCTATTTTCTCAATTGCTAACGCAGGTGGTGGTGGATTTACACCAGGTGGCGTCCCACCGCCATCTGGATCATTTTTTGCAGGTGGAAGTATATACTCTTGAGTTTCTAATGTTTTGAATAGTAGCTCCACAAAGTTTTTGGTTTCTACAAAGATAATAGAATGCTAATCTTTAATTTTAGTTCGCACAAACATTATTGTCTTGTTTTTACTAAATGTGAATATACCTTGTTGTAAAAAGACATCAAGTTGTTCTACCATGCCACCTCGCAATTCCTCCAATGTTTTATCTTTCTTAACGAGAGCATATACATATTTTGCTAGTGCAGCTGGATCAGCATCACAACTGTGAACATAAATCAATAGTCCTAAGTTTTTTGCTATTGAAATTTGACATTTATTTCAAATTACTATTTTGAAGTATATTGCTCATATAACTTTTAGGATATCTGCTAAAAGCAATGATAGTTTGTTAAATCAATAAATCACAACAAATTAAGCATTAAAGTTATTTGTATAATAATTTCAATAATGAAATCATTAAATACTATACACAAGATGCACTGCATATGTGGTTAACTGTTCTGATTGAATGTTCATTTAATGAACTATTAACAATTAAAATATTTATAAAAAAGGTCCTGTATTGTATAAACGAATACAATTAATATATATTTATTTAAAAGTAATAATAAATATTAATTAACTGTTACTGTCAACAAATCATTATAAAATAAATCATTAAGTTATTTATGTGAGAATGTCACGATATAAAGTATATTTAGCATCTGTAGTATTTGTGGAAATGCATTTAAAGCCGATGGCTTGAATAGAAACGCAACGAAATCAAATATGCTGTCCAGAATTATACGAAATAAGTTGGATACAAAATACACGAGAAATATATTGTGGATTGGCATATTATTGTCCGAATAGTAGTTAGCAAAAACTATGATGTAAATCTGGTGTGATATCGTTATTCACCGAGATCTATCAAAGATCATTTAGAAACAGACGAGTTTACCACACGTAAATATAAATCTGCATGGGGTATAAAGCATAGCACATGTACGGCCATTTACAACATCAAATGCATACACATACACTTAAAACTCTACTCGGCCAAGCTGGCCTACTTACAGCGGCTCCAAGACGGCAGTCAGCCACGCCTTGAATTGATCCGGATTCTCTATTATCATTTTCAGTGAATTCGTGACAAAAAACTCATGGAACTGTTCAAAGACACACGTTAATTACACAATATCTGGGCGGGAATAAGTACTCTCCTAAGTAAAGACAGTCGCCATTCTGAAATCTCACTCCTATACACACAGCGTTCACACAGATAGAAACCAAAGTTTCTAGAAAATATTACAGGAGTCGCTGGCAGCAGTTCGTTAGGTTAGGTGCGCTTGTTAGTTTATCGGCATTAATACAGAGCATTCTTACAGAGGTGAAACTCGGACGTTTTTCGAGAATTAATTGTCAGCGCGCATGCGTCACTGATTTGTACGTCATGAACACAGTTTCAAAACTATTTGAATCAGACATCGCAAGTGACATCTTATGCAACGTAGATATACGAGTTGTGGTAAACGTGTAATAACAATTTATGAAATTGCATATATTTCAAATATTATCGAGCTTGTTAACATTTCCAACTTTTCGTGTGCAACTACTTTCATCTCTTTTATCTACTAACCTAAACAATAGATAAAAATATTAACTCAAGAACTAGATACCGTTGGTTATACATCTGTGGAATGTCAAGACCACACGATCTGAGGATATGAAAATTATAGGTTTGTATCGTTGATCACGTTGATAGCAGATACGCAATGGTATGTTGAAAATTCTTTTGAAACTGATTATTGTAAACATTATAAAACTTGTTTTTTTGCATTTTATGTTGTAACTATGTAGCATTAAAATGTTCAGTTCTGTTCTAGTAATGCTTTAGTTTACTTTTGTTATCATTAGAGTGATTAAAATGAAATAAAATGCATACGTCAAAATATTCGTTATTAGAGCAATTTATTCGATTATTTACATATGTAGTGATTGATTTTTAAATTTTGTTTCTTTGTTTATTTCAACTTGAACAACCCGTATAAAACAAAATTTTGTGTTTGTTTTACTTCAAGTTGGTTAGCCTGTATAATACAAAATGAACCAATGAGAAGTCTTCCTTTTGGTCAGCCCTGCTCCGTTTCAAATTTTAACTGATATCAGTAATTGGTCAGACTGTTTTTTCTAACATTGGAATTGTTTTTTGAAAATATTCGCGCCATTTATAGTGTCATTATAGTGTAAAGGTAAACTTAAACAAAAGGATTTAAAAACAAAGAGAACTATGCGAACAAAAACCATTTAATGTAAGCCTTTTTAATAGCAATATCCTATTATAGTATAAATAATGTCCTATTTCTGTTTTATGCATACATTACTGTACAATATTAATTCGAGTTACATAATTCTAATTCTTCTGGTACAGAGGGTTCTTTACTTAGATTATAGTAATGATTTATTATGCCAGCTCCCAAAGCATCGGCTATAATATTAATGGTGGTTCTTATACGATCTCTGCAATGTAATATTTCAGTTGAATACTTAAATTAAGTGTTACATTATTATATATGTCAACAGATGCTTACACGAACCAATCTACTGCAATTATTAATGAAACATCTTCTGCTGGAACCCCCACAGAATTGAGTACCATTATCAACATTACATAGCCACCACTAGGTAGACCAGCAGCACCGATACATGACACAGTGCATGTAATACTAAAATTATTACTCAAATAGAATCATATAAGAATAATCATGTTGTGCTTATAAATGTTTTTGGCAATATTTGTAACAATACATACCTTATTATTATGATTCTGAATAGTGAATATTGTAATCCGTGCAATTGAATTATGAAAATTGCACCAATATTTTCGTATAATGCTATGCCATCCATGTTTATTGTAGCACCAATTGGAACAATAAATTTAGTTATTTTAGAAGGTATTCCAATGCTTTCCAAGCATGCAATTGTTATAGGAACTGTAGCTGTACTAAACTTTAATTTTTAGTAATTCATAATTTTTCTAAATAAAAATAATTTTATATATCAATTAATTACCTTGATGATGTTCCAAATGCAGTAGCAAATGCTGGTCCAAGTTTAGATACAATTTTGTATGGAGATTGTCGTGTGCACATAAAATACACACAGGGGATTAATATAAAGCCTTGTATAATCAGACCACTAAATACAGTTAGCATATAAACACCTAATCGTTGTATTATACTGCCAAAATCATTTACTTCGAGAATTTTTGCAGAGATAAGAAACAATACACTTACTGGCACTATCCTAAATAAAGTAAATATTCCCTTATACAATAATCATGTTTTTTCTTTATAATATATTAATAATAATTATATTTACATTATTGCCCAATTCATGATCTTTATCATTGCTTCTGATAACGAATGGAAAAAATGTTTTAAAGGTTCACCTTTTTCATCTGTTTTTCCAATGGCTAGACCCAACATTATACTAAAAAAAACTAAGCCTAAGACATTTGTTCCTGGCGCATTTCTATGATCTATTTGCCATTCAGCTAATGGTACTGCAAGAAGAAACAATTTTGAAATACTTAGATATTTTAAAAATTATTTCACTATATTTAAGATGGAATTTCCTCTATTATTACTCAAACATACCGGACTTATTTTCTGGTATTTCTAACACAGTTTGATACTAAAACAATATACTTATCAGTGTTACATTTCAATAGTAACAATTATTCAGAATAAACGATTCTATTACCTGATTCAAACATGCATTGACTAAGTTATCTGGGATCAAATTACTGTGATACAATAAAACAGAATTAGATAAAAATATAAAATAATTTATCTGTATTAAATTTATAAATAAAGTACCGAAATAGATCTAAAATTGTATCAACTGTCATGAAATGTTGGGTTGAATTTTCTGACACAATATTTTGATTTTTGAGTATTTCTCCAGGCTTTATTGTTTGAACAAGTATTACACTCAATGTTATTCCAAGTATTGTTGTCGTTGTGTAATAGTACAACACCATTAATCCAATTTTACCTATAAATTCAAATTATATAGTAAATATTATATCTTCTTTTAAACAAGTTATATACTATTTATTTGATTTATTTTGTGTTTACCTGACTTATTTAAATTACAAGTAGCACTCACAATAGTAGATATTAGAAGAGGCAATATTAAACAATTAACCAACCTCATAAATAGTTCTCCAGGGAACTTCAGATACATAATGCTGCGTTCTGACCATGGTTGAGCTGTAAAACTTTTAA